GACTTTCTGAAGGTGATATAATTCCTTGGTCTAACATTTTTTGAATTTCTTCTTCAAGAAATTGATTCTCAATTGGTAATTTTCTGATGTATGGCTTTAAGATAATAGGATGACTCTCTTCAAGATGTATTTCGTGTTGAATAATATCAGTATGACCAGGTGTCTCAATGTCAAATAAGTCTACATATTCATCAAGTAATGCTTGCAATTGTGCTTGTTGTTGAGTAGTAAGGTCAGATTCAATAGTAGTATTTACAGCATTATAGGTTGGTTCTGGGATGATTTCTAATTGCTGATAAATATTTTGCTCTTTAATACATTGATCACATTGTTTGCTATTTTTGATTTGATGTGAACAATTATAGAAATCTTCTAAGCGTTCTCTTCTTATACAGTTAATATCAAGATTATCATGAATTTCATTATTAATTTCTGTATAATGAGATCCTATTGCAATATTTATTGCTGGTTGATCAGGTGACTTTTCATTGATATATAATAATGGCTGTTCTTTAGTTATTGACTCTTCATATTCTTCATGTTCTTCATCTGGATCTTCATAGTTATCCAAGTCAAAGTCATCATAAATAGAAACTTCTTCTTCTTGTTTCTGTTCAACTGATCTTCTATGACTTGTGCAGGTAATTGAGATATTATGTTGGGTATTATTATTAGTAAATGATAAAGTTTTTGATGGCCAATCTAGTATAGCTTCATGTTGATGAGCCCACATGTTTCCAAGTAGGATATCATATTCTGTATTTTCAAGTACCAGTGCATTAATGGTAAAGTCTTGTTCTTGCATAGTTACTGGTAGATCTTTGATTTCTCCTAGAGGTACTTCAGATTTGCCATTAATTCCAATCAAGCAAATATTTGAGAGGCTGGTGATAGTTTGATTAATAGATTTTAAGAATCTTTTTGATACAATATTACTGACTGATCCACTGTCAATGATAATATTGACTGGTTTATCTCTAACAATTCCTATGCAATACACTGCGTCAACTGGTAATTTCTCATTATTATCTTTTTCTTCATTATATTCTTGATTCTCAATTAATAGTTGTTCTAATTTTTGTTTTGCTGAAGGTTTTATTATTTCTACTGCACGCTTACCTTCTAAAGGTGTATTGTCTAGTTTAAATGATTTTGTTGATTTTTAGTAGTTGATTGTTGGTTGGATTGAATTAACTGTTGTAACTGTTGAAGTAGATCCTCTTGTTGATTACTTTCTTCAATTTGACTAAAGTTACTTGACTGACGATTATTATAATTATTATTATTATTTCTATTATTGTAGTTATTTTGATTTCTGTTGTTGTTGTTATTATTTCTATTATTATTATTATTATTATTTCTATTACTGTAGCAGTTACGAACTAGATGTCCAATTTTTTCACAATTATAATAAGTATTATTGTTATTACTATTATTACTTCTATTATTGTTATTATTGTGTTGAGAATTATTACGTGAATTATTATTATTAGTAGTCAGATTCTTAATTTGTTTTGTCAATTCTAGTAAAGTAGCATTGATATCAGGTTAATTATTTACTACTGGTGCTGCTGAGAATGGTATTCCAAAATGTTGAGGAATACTTTGAGCAGGAGTTACAAGAGTATTATTATATGTTGTCTTATAACCAGTTTCTGATTTGATAGCGAGGTCAACAGCTTTCTCAAAGGTGTCAGGTAAATCTAGGTTAAGGAAGAAGGCATATTGTGGTTGAAGATCTTTGATAAATTCTCTAATTTTGTATTGGGCTGGATATGCATCATCTGGATCAATTTTATGAAGTAGTAAGCGTATATCAGCAGCATACTAACTAACTGATTCATTAATACCCTGAATGCGAGTATTTAATTGTTGTTACCAGGCTAAAATTTGAGTCTGAGTATGGAATTCTTCTAGAAAACAGATTTTAAAAGATTGACCTGTATGTTCTCTGTTAGAATAATAGGTCAGCCAGTCAGTAGTTGTGTGGGCTTTCAATTAATACCAATGACTAGCAATGCCTCTTAAGTAAGATGCTACTATTCTGACTTTCCTAGCATCAGTCATATTATTAGCATTGGTTGCTTGTTCAAATTCTTCTAATCAAATAACAGGATCTTCATGACCATTACCACTAAAAGTTGAAATAGGGATGGGACCTTGACTTTGGTTACTGATTAGATCAGCAAGATTTTTGAGTACATTAGTTAATTCGGTGCTCATATCTTTTATTGATTCAACTTGAGATGTTGATGTAGGTTGAGATAATGGTGATAGTCGTGGAGGTGTATCTAAAATAAGTGCAGTTTGTTCTTCTTCTCCTGAATCAGATTCTTCTTCTGTACTAGTTGAGGAGAAAAAAAAATCTTGTATGTTTTGAGTGAGACTTTCAACAATAGTTGGTTATCTAACAGTTACAGTATCAGGGGTAGAGGTTAAGATTGGTGGAAGATTGAGCTGGACAAATTGATATCGCTCAGTACCAAATTGATTAATTTCAATTGCTAATTAGTTAATGTAATTTCATATTGCTGTGAACTGATGTGCTGAGTGATTTATTATCCACTGTTGTAGATTAAATTTAGCAGTTCTTATTTGTCGGTCATTTCTGGAAGCAATGACAGTAAAGAGGCTATGAAGTCTTATATATAGTTCTTGATTTTGTCTAGTAGTAATAGGTCTATCAAGTATTACTCTGATATTTTCAATTTGTCGAAGAATTTCTACTTCTGTTGGTTGAGTTGGATCCAGTTTTAATAATTATTTTTGAAATTTATCTAGTATCAGTTTTAACCCTCCACAGAGGGGGCACCAAAAAGCTGTTACCATTCTTAATAGGATGGACAAGAAAATACTAAATACAGTAATATTTATATTTAATAAGGAATAAGAACAGTATCAGTGACTGTGTATACTTGAGAGGGTTGAACTAGATAGGGTTTGTAAATTAGGAATTTCCTTTGGAAATTTATTAAGAATAGGATATTGATAAAATCTGTGAACTCTTAATAAGAATATAATTATTATCTTTAAATAATAACAAGTTATAACGAGCAACTATAACAAACTATAATACTTTCACTAGTTGGATAAGTAATTATAGTCAGAAGGGTACGAGTAATAAAATATAAGAGAATAACTTCTACTAGTTGGGTAAATTAAAATCAAATATAAGATGTTTAAAAATCAGAATAAGAAAAGGTAATAAGATAAAGAGAAGTATTAGTTAACTTCTTGAATTTTATTAATTTTCAATTTGGATTAGGACTTAAAGACTTTTAATCTGTCCTATTATCTAGTTTACAGAGTGTTCTTTTATAAGAAAAGATGTTACGCTGATCTATATCTACGTGAAACATATCTAATTTATAATTAATTACGTGACTTAATTAGTGAAACATTAAGTATTACATTAAATAAATTGGTAATACATTAAGTGTGACATTAATCTAATTAGCGTGACATTATCTAAATTAGTATCTCATTACACATGATTTAGAATACCAATAGGGAATTTAGAAGGTAAACATATGTTTATCATAATTAAAAATATAATAAATTAGATAAATAAGTAATTAATGCCATGTTAAATCAAATAAAAGCGAATTATAAATAATAATTAAAAACAGAAACAGGCTGTGTTAATAATGTAAATAATAAAAGATAAATTAAAAATATGAATTAAGAAATTAAAGAATTTAAGAAATCAAAAGAAAAGAATTAAGAATAAAAGAATGTAGTGATGCAATTGAGATCATTACTGAAGATAGGGGATGAACCGGTGACAATATAAATTAATATAAAAGATTTAAAGAATTTAATATCAAAGATAAAATTTTTTTACTTGTAATATAAAAACTTTAGTAAATAAATAAAAAATAATAAAAAAGTTTATATCAAAGTTTATAGAACTCTTTGAAATCACAAATAAAATATCTTTTATTACTTATAAACTATAATTATTAATAAATATAAAATTACATCTAATATTTCATATATCATTTTTAAAGAAGTATAATTCAGATAATGAATATAATAAATATTAATTATTATTAATAATTATTATATTAGATAATAAAAAAGAATAGAAAATAGAAAATATTCTTGATAAAAGAATTTATTATTGTAAACTTCAATATCTTATTAAATAACTTGATTATTCTCTTTATAATATAATATAAGAATCTCTTGAAAACTTGAAAAATATCATAAAGAAGATTAATATCTTTGAGAAATCATATACTTAAATATAATAAGAATATTATACTTTAAGTAGAGAAATATATAATAATTTTAATTAGATTATTTTTCTTTAGCTTAGATCTTTATTTTGTACTATCTATATAATAAATTAACTTTATATTACTTTTTCTTAAAAATCTATTTTATTTTGAATATATAATTTAATATATTGTCATAAATAATTACTATATATATATATATTATTAATTTAATTTTTAATTAAATTTTCTTTTAATAATTTCTTTATATTTTTACTTATTCTTTTTAATTATTATTTATATTATTATTTATTATATTATTAATTATTAGATTATAATTAGTTATTCTTCAGAGATATAAATTAAGTTAATTAATTTTATTTAATTCATATATATTTTAATTATTAATTTATTTATATTTCATATTCATTTCATTTCTTATAAATAAAATTTTTCTGTTTTGTAATTAATTTTAGATTTGAATACTTTTAAATAATAAAAATAATTATAAATTATAAAATTAAAACTGTTTATATTATATTTTATCTTATTTACAACTATTAATAAAATAATCTTACAAAGATTTATAATAATAATATTTTTAGTTTAAAAATTTATTATATGATTTAGAAATAATATAATTATAATAAAATCTTTAATTTTATTAGAAAAATAATATAATATACTATTAAAATAGATAATAAATCTTTTAATTATCTCAAAAAGTCTTAATAATTAATTTATTAAGAAATAAAGAATTATTACTAGTAATAATAATAATAATAATAATAATAATAATAATAATAATAATAATAATAATAATAATAATAATAATAATAA